TCTTCAGGCTCCGACCCCAGTGTGTACGCCCAGCATCCTGGAGAGAAGGAAGTCCACCCATCTGGAAGCCCCTGAGGACAGCGATGACGAGATCATCGTGAAGTTACCGCAGGTTAAATCTGCGTCAAAGAAGAAATCCAAGCTCAGCAAGTCCGCCCAGGAGGAACCCCCGGAGGACAGCGATGATGAGATCGTTGTGAATGTACCGGAAGTTAAAACACCACCAAAGAAACCGAAGTTCCGGAAGTCCGCCCGCGTGGAAGCCCGCGGGGATGGGGAAGGTGAGATCGTTGTGCGTGCACCCAAAATGAAAACTCCAGCAAAGAAATCGAAGCTCGGCAAGTCCCCCCATGTGGCAAAACCCGAGGACAGCGATGGCGAGATCGTTGTGAAGGTACCGGAAGTTAAAACCACATCGAAGAAGAAATCGAAGCTCAGCAAAGTGGACAAGAGAATGAAAATTAGAAAACTGAAACTGCAGACCAATTAAATGTGTGAGGCCGGGGACTGTGAAAGCTGCAAAGACAATTACGGAGAGTTGCCAGACACCCGGGGAGCCAATTGGCTGTCAGTAACTCAGCGGCTGCCCCGGGTTCTGCTCCTGTTTTGCGGTTCTGTACAGGACCCGCTGCAGCCAGTGTAATGATGTGTGATCGGTCTGTTCTGATGCTGCCGAAAAGGTTCATCTGCTCATCTGGACTTTTTTCTGTGTTTTCCAAAGAGATGTCTGTGTGACAGCGGATTACCCAGACTCCTCTGTCATTCCATCTGTCAAAGGTGTGAAGTCTGGACTCTGTTTAGCGTGTAAGGTCTGTAAGGTGTACAGAAATATTTTTAATAAAACGGGATTGTTTGGCTAACAAATTTATCGAAATTCATATCTTCATTATTGTAAATCCCCGTCATGTGTACGAGTTCTTAAAGTGTAATAAACCCCAAGAAGAAAAATGTTATATATTGCAGCTTACCCGTCCTTGGATGTTGGTGGTTGCATTAGGTTTTCATTTTGTTTTTTTATACAGGCTTTTCTATTCCTGAGGGTCTCATCTGTTCAGGCTGCAATCATGTATACTGACTGGTGGTGAAGTCATCTATGGGGTCAAACACTCCAGAGTTCTCATTCGATGAAATGAAAGCTGGAGCTAATTGTGTGAATTTTGCTACAACATGAACTTATGTAGGACAACTTATATTTTGGGCTTTCTTGGTTCTTTTCTTACTGTTTAAATACCCCCCTCCCCTCCCCCCATTGGCTTTTTGGAAGGCCCAACCATGGTCTAAACAGCATATGGATTTACAAACCTTGAAGTGCTGCTGCACGTAAGGAATTGCGCTGCTGAGGGAGAGATGGCTACATTAGAGGGAAGCTATCAGGCAGTTAGTTATCCCCTCGGCTGGCTCTGTTAATGAGGACGCTCATCCTCCTGACAGACCAGCAAGGAGCAGGGAGGGGGAAATCGCGGTAAAAAACGTGCGACGGACGCGCATATGCAATACGCCTAGGTGTGAACGAGACCTTATAGTGGCCGCCTCACCTCTCCCACCACCATTGCATTCCTTCACCAACACCCTCTGCACTCCCCCAGTTGCAGCTGTAGCGCATCACATCCCTCCACCACACTCCTAATTGCAGAGCCGTTCTTTTCCCCAGCTCGCAAAGCTTCCTTCCGATCCACCTCACTCTCTTTCCCTAGCTCACAGCCCCAGCCTCCCTGCAATCTAACTTGCCCCCAGCACATAGGGCCTCCCTCCCCCATAGCACACACATGGTGGCCACCTTGCACCTGCTTGCCCCCCACTGCACACTGTCTGTCTCTCACCCAGCACCCCCCCCTGTCACAATTCTCACCCCCTGTTCACAACATCTCTGGCTTGCAGCGCTACCCTCCTTGACCCCCTGCTTCACAGCCTCTCTCCAACTGCTGTGTTAATTGGCCCGTGAGATAGAGACTCTATTGCTCTTAATTGTCTTCATCACTTGGACCTGTCCAGCTTAGGTGTTTCTACCAGGAGCAAAAGCTACCACTGGCACAACTCTGCAAGCAATTCCACCCAGCAGATAAACTACCGTCATCAGGGTTGCGATACTGTTTGCAATGGTACCTCTCAGTGTCTCTTTCCATAACCTGGAGGCCTGAGTTTGCCCCGGGGTCTCTGTGTCCTGGTCACAATGTACGGGCTATTAGATCTGACTGCTGGCAAGCCACAGGAAAGGTAGAGACAATTCTGTAATGGGAAATAAAAAGGGCAAAAGGAAATGGGAGGAGAGAGAGAAAGGAAAGCTAAGGCTAGGGGGAGACAAAGGACAATGATTGAGAGAATGAAATGGAAAGGGAGACATGGGAAAGAAAGGACGGAGAGAGAGAATGAGAAACAGGAATCAAGAGACTGGGAAATATAAATGATACAATACAGGGACAGATGGGGAAATATAGGAAAGCAAATAGAGAGACAGAATAAGGAATGCAGAGGGAAGGATAAAGGGAGACAGGAAATAAGAGGAAGGGAAGAGATAGGAATAAAAAGGATAGTGAGAGACTGGAAAGAGGAGGAGTTTGAGGAAAAAGGATAGAGAGACAGACTGGAATAGACGAGGAAAGGAATGGGAGAGAACAGAAAGGAATAATGTCAAATGGAAGTGGGGTTAGCAGTAGTGTGGTGCAGATCCCTGCAGAGAAGTGCCCTGAATGTGAGCTGGACAGCAATGTAAAGCAGATCCCTACAGCGAGGTGCCCTGGAAGTGTCGTGCGGATCCTTGGAAGTTGGTTGGACATCAGTGTGGATCCCTGCACCGGTCACTGATGGGGTGCCCTCCACTGCCATTCTGCTTCATTCAGATTTACACAGCTGCTGAGTTGCCCTCAAAACACTAAAAAAAGAATGGGAAATCCTGGGACTCGGAAGAAGCAATAAAACCTTGTGCTGGCCCTTGGTTGGGATTTTCCTGGAGTTATTGTAAAGGAGATGTAAACCCAATCCATAAAATCTCAACCTCAAATGTTAATGTCATTTCAAAAGTCATTTTCAATCATGTTAAATCTGCAGCTTGAAAATAGCCCCCAGCGATCCTGCCATGAAAGTCTTTGTTCTGACACTTCCTGTCACATAGGATGATAACCCTCCCTGTCTCCCAATTGTGCTCTTGTGTTGTCACCTGAACTTCCAATGGAGACAACAAGTAGCTTTATTAACACACATTACACAGATATGGTCCTCTGTCATCACCATCAGGAAACCCATCCTGAGAAATGCCATACACGGGCAGTGGCTGCACAGAGGTTGTAGGAGATCAGCAGCATTGAGCTATAACATAGAAGTACAGCTGCATGGTGGTGTAGTGGGCAGCGCTTCTGGGGCTCACTGGTTTGAATCCTGGCCAGGTTACTATGCAAAAGAAGTTTGCATGTTCTCCTTGTGTGGATTTCCTCCGGGTTCTCCGGTTTCCTCCAACACTCCAAAGACATGTTGGAACGTTAATTGGCCCATTTATGTGAGATAGGTAGCATAGATTGTAAGCTCCTTGGGGGCAGGGATTGATGTGAATAGGCAACTGTGTAAAGCGCTTCGTAAATTGTCGGCGTTCTATAAATACCTGTAATAAATATGAGAAAAGGTAATATGATATATGGAGCACACTTAAAGGACGTTTCCAGTATTGAGCAATTTCCTAGAGAGGAGTACATGGCAGGACACCAATGACATTTACAGTGCAGCCAACATGTATAACAGTGCAAATACGTTTTATGAATAGAACAATTGTGTTCCCGGTTGCCAGTAGTAAACATGGCTGCTGCGGTCGCCACGCACAAGATGGCGGCCGGCCGCTCTAGCCGGGCAGCTCTCTATAGTGTGACAGGACGCGCCTGCGCACTGACGGTTCCTTTCAGCGGCCGGGGCGGGGAGTCGGGCGCAGAGCAGAGAGTGGAGCGATGCGGCGG